TTGCGCGGACAAGCTTCGCGCTTCGCCCAGAGCGGCCGCGGCGATTGGCGACGAGTACGCGACATTTTTTCGCATCTTTGCCTGAAACGCTCCACGCGGAGCGGGCCGGTCTCGCCGCGCCCCCCCAACCCCGCCACCTCGCTGACAAGTACGGACTCTTGCTCGGCAAACCATTTGGCCAGGGGGTCGTCTGCCGAGGCGGCGTTGACGAAGCGCAGTGGGACCTCCAAGAGCATGTCCGTGATCTCTTGCGCGCACTGCTTGTCATTCTCTGAAAATATTTTTGCCGTCTGCGCGTGCCGCATTATCGAGACAACTTCTAAAGACCCACCCGTAAGAACACAAACCGAAGTGGGTGTCCTGTGGTCCGCCCGTCGCGACTGACAAGAGCTTTGGACACTCGCTTCAGCTTGCAGCCGTAACTGGGGCCATCCCCTTCAAACTGGTTGGCCGGCACTGCCCGCGCGTCGGGCAGTAATTAGACCTTGGAGGGGCCACGCCGCCCTTGCAGCGGGGCTGTGCCGCAGCTGGCAGTCCGCGCAAGTCTGGAACCAGGCTCCGGATGTTCTGGAAATGTCTCTCCAGCACTGCGGTGGAGCGTCGCTTTGCTGGCAGGTGTCTCTTGCTCTTTCCTCAGACGCCAAGAACAAGCTGCGCGCCCGTGCAGAAAGGCGTGCTTTGAAACAAGCCCAGGAAAATCCAGGAATACTGGAGCCAGGCATCCCAGGAAAAAAAGAAGAAAAACAGAAACACACACACGACATGCGTCCGATGGGAAACATCCAAGCCAAAGCAAGCCGTTTGGTGGGGCGTCTCTAATCCTGGGACAGCTTGGTAGGCCCTGTACTACCTTAGCTCAACGCCCTCGCCTTGGGCAGTCTCTGAGCCGACTTAAATATTACAAGCAAGATCGCCCCACACTCCAGGTTAGCCGGGCTTTGTCGTTCAATCAAGGGGAACGACGATGGCCACCATCTTCACCGTATTGTCTAGAGTCGCTCCAACCACATCTACTACCGCAACCTACCTTACGCCAAGAATGTCTGGCGGAACCAGCCTCGGCAAACCAGTGTGTGCAAAACAAAGTCACTGAAGGAACAAATAGGGTTTACCGGCTTGCTTTGAAACAGCAGCTGGTGGCTTCGTCGAGGCAACGCAGGCTTAGACTTGGGAGAACGCGTTGCTGCATCAATTGCCCTGTTGTGGGTCGTTTCAGTTTGGGCCGGAATGTCTTAGACTTAGCCCCGCGGGTCTGGTTCCTTTCCTAAAACGCAGCAGCCACACTCGCTGCGAAGCGGCTGTAGTGCTGGTTCAAAACTGGGTGTGCCGTTTTCTGGTGCAAGATGTGCTCATAGGCAGTTAGGCAGCCTGCAGTTTTGCAGAGACCTGTGCCTGCGCGGGTTCTGTTCCAGTGAAGGGTTTGCGCTGGGTGGGAATGAGCATTTCTCCAGCATGCTGGCCCCAGAAGGTGGGTCAAAAACATTGCCCGCCCTTTTTGCAGCTACGTACCTGCTACTTCGGCTTAGCTCTTCTGTTTTGCAAAGCGCTAATAAATCAATTCCCGCCGTGTTCTTTTCACGAGCCACTCCTCAATCAGCTACCTTGCCGTTTTCAATTTGTGACCTGAGTACTTCAGGGGGCCCCCTGGTCCAATTGGTTTCCTGCAGCAGACCAGAAACGACCGTTTTCTCGGCCAAGCCGACCCCCAGAAGTTAGCAATTTGGTGTGCGCAAGGGGTTTGCAGTGTGCAGCAACACGGTCTACCACACGGTTTGACAAATACCCTCGCTTTGCCTGGCCGGCTGCAAGGGCATGTCAGACACACTTCACCCTTCTTGCAAGAGCAAGGGGAATGACTTATGGTTGCCCTTGAGACAACATGGCTTTCTTGGGTGCAGACTTGGCTGGGCATGCTGCAACCTGCGTGAAACAGGTCACATCGAAAATAGCCCGCGCGCCCAAATGAGTCCAACAAAACAAACAAACAAACAAAAACAAAAACAAACAAACAACAAAACAGACAGCAACAAAAACAAAAACAACACAAACAAACCAGCAAACAAACCGACCAACCAACCAACCAACCAACCAACCAGCAAACAAACAAACAAACAAACCAACAAACCAACAAACCAACAAACAAAAAACACGACACAACAAATCAAAACAAACACAAACACAAAAACAGACAACCACACACACACCACCACAAAGAAAACACAACAACCAAACAAACACACACACAAACAAACACACAACCACACAAACACACAAAGACACAAACACACAAACACACAAACCCACAAACACACAAACACACTCACACACTCACACAAAAAACAAACAAACCAACCAACCAACCAACCAACCAACCAACAAACAAACAGACAGACAAACAGACAAACAAACAAACACACAAACACGCAACCACACGCACACACAAACACAAAAACAAACAAACAAACAAAACAAACAAAACAAACAAAACATGTACACACACACAAACAGCCAAGCAAGCAAAAACAAAAATAAACAAAACAATCAAAGAGACAAAACAAAACAAATAAACAAAAACAAACAAACAAAACACACACACACACACAAACAAACAAACAAACAAACAAACAACCAAACAAACAAACAAACAAGCAAACAAGCAAAGAAAAAAGGAAACACATAAATAAATAAATAAATAACTAAAGAAATCAAGAAAGAAAGACAGAAAGAAAGACATAAATAAAGAAATCAATAAAGACATAAATAACTAAAAAAAACAGACAAACAAACAAACAACAGAAAAAAGATAAACAAAGAAAACAAACAAACCAGCAAACAAACAAACAAACAGGATACACCGACGCCGGGTCGCCTGGCACGAAACAAGCCTCGTTCTAGATGAGTCCACATCAATCAGTCAAAGCTTCGGATGCGCGTGAGTGTGTATTGTCTCGTGTGACAGTGCGTGCAGCGGTTGTGGATGCGCGTGAGCGTGTGTATTGACACTTGTGCCAGCATGCGCGCAGCGGATGTGGATGCGCGTGGGCGTGTTTATTGTCACTTATGCCAGCATGCGTGCAGCGGTTGCATATTATCTCTTGTGCCAGTGCGTGCAGCTGTTCTGGATGCACGCGGGCGTGTTTATTCTCACTTGTTCCAGAATGCGTGCAGCAGTTGTGGATGCACGCGGGAGTGCTTATTGTCACTTGTGCCAGCACGCGTGCAGCGCTTGTGGATGCGCGCGGGCGTGTCTATTCTCACTTGTTCCATGCGTGCAGCGGTTGTGGATGCGCATGAGCATGTTTATCATCAGTTGTGCTAGCGTCGTGCAGCGGTTGTGGATGCGCGTGAGCATGCCTATCACCACAGGTGCCAGCATGCGCGCGGTTGTGGATGCGCGTGGGCGTGCGTAATACCACTTGTGGCAGCACGCGCGCAGCGGTTGAGGATGCGCATGAGTGTGTGTATTACCACTTTTGCAGCTTAGCCTGATCTGTAAAGACTCCGAGTACCCAACAAATGTCAAAACACATGAGAAACGCACGAAACAACCTCGCGCTTGGAGGCGGTAGCAGCAACAAACAAGCAAGCAAGCAAACACAAAAACAAAAGATAGGCAGACAGAAAGAGAAAAGGCAAGAAAGCAGTAAAGAACAACCGACAAAGATAACAAGAGATAAATTATGCAGAGACACAGATAGAGAAAGAGAGAGAGAGAGAGAGAGAGAGAGAGAGAGAGAGAGAGAGAGAGAGCGCGCGAGAGGGAGAGAGAAAGAAACAGAAAGCAAGAAGTCAGGCAACAAACTAACCAGTGCATATTTTCACGCATAAGGAAACCTATAAAGACACAAATAATGCATAAATGACAACTACATGACATAAGTAAAGACAACAAAATGCTGAAATAAACAAACAATACACGGAGAAGAAGCAAAGAACCAGGCAAACAAACAAACAAACGCGCAAGCCAAGCCAGACCCAAAAACCAAAACTGCGCCGCACTAACCCTCCACAAAGCGCTGGGCGCCATTGGGCTGAGGCACAGGACCCGCCACACACTGCGTCTAGCTGAAGGCCCTAGCGGGAAAGGACGGGGAGGTTGAAGCTTGTCTTCCCAAGCCCTGGCGCATTCAAGTATTGCCCGCTCATTTTCCTTGATTTTCACTCTCCTTTCCCTCATGTTCTCTCATTTTCCCTTTTTGGCCCCTTACTTACCCCTGATTTGCCCGCGTTGACCCGCTTGTACGGTTGCTTGGCTTGACAGGGTATGGTTCAGGGGTCTTACAAAAATACATCACCTATCCACATCTGGCAACAAAAACAAACGAGCTCCCCACAAAAAACAAGAGGGCCAAAATACATTCAGCACCAGCATTTCCTCCCTTCCTTTTCCATTTGCCCGTGTAAAGCAAAAACTGAGCCTAGTGGTCGTCCGGTCTTGTTCTGAACGGATGCCAAAAGCAAGCTTGTTTCGGGGCTGCCCCATTCTGGAGATTTGCCATGAGTTGGACGACACAGGACTTGGATGTCAAACGCTTGCCCGTTGCCTTTGCATGTTCCCTTTAAACACTAGCCCCTTGGGCAGCTCTATGCAAAAAAGGACATTGCACTTCAGACAATTCTGCAAACAAGTTCAAATCGAAAAGAGCCCTTGGCCCCGGGGACAGTCCCTTCAAGGAGTCCGTTTGGTGAAAAGTAGATGGGCTTCACTGGTATGCAACACTTGACAAAAACTGACTCACTGGTGGAATCCATCCATTTTCGATCCAACTGAAACGAAACACGATACTCATGGTTCCTATGTTGCACGTGCACTTGAAAAGGCGCCCCCAACATTCACTCTGAAGGCCAGCCTAGTAAGTAGGCTGTAACCATACTTATACCGAAACATACCGAAACCAGTCTTATATACCGAAATCAACCCAACCTACCACATTGGACATCAACATCCAAGCGCTTCTGCCACTTCTTGAAGTTCGGCTGCGTGGCGCGCCACTGTCCCGCCTCAAGCTGCGCTGAAGCGAGGAAGGACAAGGAGTCCTGCGGGCAAGCACGGGAAAACCGGCACGTTTGCGGGCCCATTGTGTGAAGATAAGGATCCCTCAGAGGCGCACCCAAGATGGCGGAGAAAAGGAGCGCTCCTTCGTTTATTTTACACGGACACCCCTGACTCCCCCCTAACAAAACCAAGAAGGTCTGGGGACACATTCGGGCAGTCCTTCCAGGCGCCCGTCTTGATGAGCCCGCTGTAAGTGATGATGTCCGGCTCCAATTGCTCCTCGTTTGGAAACCAAAGGCCTAAGTTGCCCAGCAAAAGTCCTCAACAAGAACCGCAGCCTAGCGCTTCCACTTTGCACTAATGTTGACCCAGGATTAATACACCCGTCCCATTATTAGGGGGGGTGTTCCCTCCAAAAGTGATGAATCCCCACTAAAAGGGGACACCCCCCTATTCATCAACCAGTGGTGCATCAATCCGGGGTCAACATTACCATTGTTGCTTCTTGGTCTCGCATCATGGTTTTCCCAAGTTCCTACTATAACAGCAACTGGAACTTGTCAGGGGCTATAGTTTCTCTGCGTTTCTCAAAAATAAGGGATCCTCAAAATCGCTTGTTTCTTGATCGTTTTTCCCGAAAGCATGGCGAAGGGTTCTTCCGCTGGGTTCACTTGAGTTGTTCTCATGAGAGTCATTACAAGGTGTCATTGCAAGGAATCATCATCAGAAAAGTCATTGCAAGGAGTCATTGCAAGGAGTCATTGCAAGGAGTCATTGCAAGGAGTCATTGCAAGGAGTCATTGCAAGGAGTCATTGCAAGGAGTCATTGCAAGGAGTCATTGCAAGGAGTCATTGCAAGGAGTCATTGCAAGGAGTCATTGCAAGGAGTCATTGCAAGGAGTCATTGCAAGGAGTCATGGCAAGGATTGCAACTTGCACTTGACTCCTTGCACTTGCAACTTGCACTTGACTCCTTGCACTTGCAACTTGCACTTGACTCCTTGCACTTGCAACTTGCACTTGGCTCCTTGCACTTGCAACTTGCACTTAACTCCGTGCACTTGCGACTTGCACTTGACTCCATGCACTTGGCTCCTTGCAACTTGCAATGGCTCTCATGACTCCTTGCAATGACTCCTTGCAACTCCTTGCAGACTCCTTGCAATGACTCCTTGCAATGACTCCTTGCAATGACTCCTTGCAATGACTCCTTGCAATGACTCCTTGCAATGACTCCTTGCAATGACTGCTTGCAATGACTCCTTGAAACAAGCAAGGAGTCAAGTGCAAGTTGCAAGTGCAAGGAGTCAAGTGCAATTGACTTGCGAGGAGTTAAAATCTCTTCTTAGGGCGGCGGGGTAGTGCCGACGACACTACACGAAAATCGACCCTCTGCGGGGATCGGCGTGGTCGAGGTGCAAAAACCCATGGTTTTTTGCGATTTCTAAAGTTCCCGCGCGACCCTCTGCGGGGATCGGCGTGGTCGAGGTGCAAAAACCCATGGTTTTTTGCGATTTCTAACCTGCTCGCGCGACCCTCTGCGGGGATCGGCGTGGTCGAGGTGCAAAAACCCATGGTTTTTTGCGATTTCTAACCTGCTCGCGCGACCCTCTGCGGGGATCGGCGTGGTCGAGGTGCAAAAACCCATGGTTTTTTGCGATTTCTGCGGTGCTCGCGCGACCCTCTGCGGGGATCGGCGTGGTCGAGGTGCAAAAACCCATGGTTTTTTGCGATTTCTAAAGTGCTCGCGCGACCCTCTGCGGGGATCGGCGTGGTCGAGGTGCAAAAACCCATGGTTTTTTGCGATTTCTGCTGCTCGCGCAACCCTCTGCGGGAATCGGCGTGGTCGAGGTGCAAAAACTCAAGGTTTTTTGCGACTTTTGTTGTTCGAACTGGTCCTCGGGAGTTGTCTCGTGGTTCGCGCGCCTGCTCCCGGAACCGGCGGGTCGCGGGTTCGATTCCTCCCTGGTCCGCGGGCGGGCGTCGCAAGATGCAACTTGCATTTTACAGCAACTTGCGCAGAGCAACTTGCGCAGAGCAAGTTGCACAGAGCAACTTGCGCAGACCAACTTGCACCGACCAGTTTGCGCAGAGCGCCTTGCCTAGAGCAACTTGCGCAGAGCAACTTACGCAGAGCAACTTGCACAGAGCAACTTGCACAGAGCAGCTTGCACAGAGCAACTTGCAGGGAGCGCAATTTGCACAGAGCAACTTGCAGGGAGCCACTTGCAGGGACCAACTTGGAGCAACTTGCGCGGAGCAACTTGCGCAGAGCAACTTGCACAGTGCAACTTGCGTAGAGCAACTTGCGCAGACCAACTTGCACCGACCAGTTTGCGCAGAGCACCTTGCCTGGTGCTGTCTCGCGCTTGCTTCACGAAGTGTAGAGAAAAAGAACGCATCCTGCAGCGTTGGGCCGACCTCGCTTGCGATGTTCTGCTTCGGGCCAACCGTGGTCTAGTTTTCTTTGGGTCCACCCTTTTGAGTGGACCCTTATGGACTCTCTGGTTTGAGGCTTCATGCCCAAGGACCAAATTGGAGGCGAAAGCAACAGACCCGCTTCGAGCGCGTCCTCTTTGGCCGAGCGCAACACCTCCGCGCCGCAGCCCGCGCTGACGCCGGCGGCCACCGCTGCGTTGAGCGCCACCAAGTTCCGGCGCAGCCGGGCGCCGGGCAGCGCCGCCAGGAGAGCCAAGGCCGCCTCGCGGGAGAGTCCATTGTAGGGTCCCCTATTTCGCCACACCCGGGTGAGCCATGGTCCAAATTCCTTTGGCCACGATTCCAGGGATCCTTGCCATTGTCTAGAACCCCGAGCAAGCAAGTTAAGGCTGTTTTGACCATGGCGAGACATGGCCAACATGTACTGCTGGCTTGGCACATTTAGGGCTTGCTGTTTGGGCTTTGCGGAAGATTTGGAGCGTCCCCCCATTTGCCTGAAGGGGCCTCATCTTCGCAAGGTACTTGAATCCTGTGCGCCTGCTTCTTGAGGGCACCCAAGAACCCGTTTGGGGCCATTTCAAAAATTAGATAGAAATGCATAGTTAAGCAGAACTTTGCAATTCAACTTGAGTTTAGATAGAAGTTGTTGTTCACATAACTTTCAGCTGGCATTTGTTTTTAAATGTATTATTTTGTGTTTCTTGTTTGTTTGTTTGTTTGTTTGTTTGTTTGTTTGTTTGCTTTCTTGTTTGTTTGTTTGTTTGTTTGTTTATAACTGAATTTCAAGAAGGAATCCCTTTCAATAGAAACAATTCCACTGGATCAGCCCTGCCCAAAGCCATCAACACAAACATTGTCGAGAACAGAAAACAACAACAACAAACCAAACCCACACAACCAAACAACATGCTCCTTCGAAATCTTGGCATGGTGGGCGGCTACTTCTACAAGGAGTGTTTGAAGATCGTTTTTCTTTGGTTTCGTTTTTGGCTTTCTAGAGCTTTTTTGAGCTTTTCGTCTTCTGCAAGCTTGAAAGAGTCTCTGGCTGAGAATTGTTCTTTGGATTGCTTGTCTTTTTGGTGTTGTTTTTGCTTTCTGGAGTCTTTCTGTTCTTCTAGAAACACAGCAATGCATTCAACAGAAGAAAGGACAGACATTTACACATGTCCCTCAACAACCAAAGAACAAACAAATTGCACAGGCCAACGAATTCGAAAAAGTGAGTCCCGTGTTCTGCTGTTTTCAGAGTGGTTTGCTGACGTCTCAATCAACTTTGGCTGTTCCCAGCGCCGGGCCATGGGAAAAGAGCCCCATTTTCCGTTAGACTTCAAGCCACCAAGGGCAGAAAAGAAGGCATCTCTGAAGGTCCAGACTTGACTTTGCCTCGACCAGGGCGAGACCGTCGCTGAGGCCGACAGCTAGCATGTGGGCACGATCATGTTGTTCAGGTTTGGCCCACACAATGCTCGATGCGAGGGCCTCGTTTTGTTTTCTTCCGCTTGCTCAAGCCGTTGGATTTATGTTTCGAGTCCCCTCTGCACAACAAAGACACGCCGATTCATCACATCGCTTGTTCCACGATCAACAAAAACAACAAAAACAACTTCCCGCTTCCCTGCAAGCCTGCTGCTGGGTGGCTCGGGCGCAGGCAGTCATGGCGGTGCCTGAGAGACAATCGATCGGCTGGCCTGAGACCACTCTCGCCTGTTACCCGAAAGCTCGGTTGGCCCGGTTTGCGTCAACCCCGGGTGGTCCCCATTATGACCTTGCTAAGCCTTAGGCTGTGCCGAGGGGTGCCCAAGACAAGTGGACCTTTTGACCTTTTGGCCACACCTTTGTTCTTGAAGTGTGCCAGACGTTGAGGACTCCGGTTTCAGGAGCATGCATGACATCCAATGCTGGACCTCAATGAGCCAAAGTAACCAGAATTTCTGGAAAACTGACATTGAAGTATGTGCCACTCACTCATGCTTCTTGAACACATCCCTAGGTCATTTCTCACAGGACTAGTGGGCTCACTGACACGCAACACAAGCCCAACCGTCGGGATTCCTGAGCGAATTCCTGACAGTGGATACACAAAATATGAGCTTCGAACGTCAAACAAACATGACTTGAGTTACTAACAGTCATCTCCCTTCCTGAATGGACACAGAGTCTCAGGAGCTTCTTTGACCCTCTCCAAGGTCATCACGCTTTGGGGGCCGCAGATTTCGCGGTCTTGGGCTCGATCTATTTAGGCATCCCGCTTTTTAACAGGCGGAGCGGGCCTGAAGGCAGGGCTTCGTTCTTTCCCCCTTTAAACGCCACCTGACTTGGAGCAAGCCCAACCTTGGTCAAGTGATTTGTGTTGGTTCCTTCCTGGCTTATAGAGACCCCAGCCAGAAGTGGAAACGTAGACACAAGTGGATCCTAAGCCCAAGTCCCCTAAGGCCTGAATCTGGACCCATCTCCGAGCGAGGAGCTGTAGGTCACGATATCAGCTTTGATTGGCATGGAGCGCAGCAACCACAAGGCTTGCTGCCAGCGGCTGGCGGACGCCAAGGCGTTCAAAGCGGTGTTGAAGCTGATGAGATCCGGGGATACCTTGATAAAACTGGGTCACAGGACGAACATTTCGAGAGATTCACGCATTTACTTTTCTTTTTCGGGCGTTTAAACAACCTTGAGAGGGCAGTTCTGAGGTTGTCTTCGCTGGACAAGCCAAACGGCGCTCTTGGAAGAGAGAAAGGTACCTGCAGGCAGGGTTCCCTCTTTTCCCCTTTTAAACATGATCCGACTGAGAGGCAACCTACACTTGGCCTGATTTCTTTCCACCGGGCTTCGAAGGGAGACATACGCAGAGACCCCAGGAAAGTCCTTGAATTGCAAGCAACTGGTGCAACCCCACACCGCTTGGAGAAGAGGGACTTGATTCCGCGCAACATGGATAGGCAAATCTGCAAGCCTGCCCAAAGCGTCTGCTTGTCACTAGCTCTTGGCAGCAACGTGTGTGTGTGTGTGTGTTGTTTGACGGTTTGAATCCCGTCGTGCAAGCGTGTCTCAAATAGGAGGATTCCCAGCACGCCCGGAGACAAGGGTGAACCCACAAGGCCTTGTCTGGGAGGTCCATGAGTCATTCAAGCCCACCGCGGTTTCAAAGGGCAACGGGAAGCCACCCATTTTGGAACCAAGAAACATCCCCTCGGTTCTTAGGCCAAGCAGACTCGGCAATCCGTCCGGTGGGGGTAAGGCGCTGGCGGTGACGCCCAGCAGGCCCAGCGCGTCTTGCCACGCTCGCTCGCAGGCGCGGATGGCGGAGTTCAAGGCCACGACGTTAAGGTCCGAGCTGCGGCGAGCACTTTCTGCCAGCTGCCTAAGAAGCGCCCAGAATCGAGTGGTTCTTTTGAAGGAGCTGTAAGATTCTTCAGTATGGGCATTTTGAGATGTCTTAATTTTGCCTTTTCAATATGGCATGAAGGTTTTACACAAGACTTGCCCCTCTTTGCCCCGCCGTTTTACTCGCTGGGAGATGAAAGCCATCCTCAAAGCCTAAATCAAGAGCTCTAATAGCGAGGGAAGGGCGAACCGCTACACTGAAAACCATTCCCTGTCATCGCCCACCTCACCGTTCCTTCCTTTGCATCCATTCACTCTCCCCCTGTAGCGGGAATGCTTGATGCTTCGCAAAGGAGGCACAGAGGGCAAGAGATGAGGAAAAGAAGACACAGTGACTGTCCGCGAGAGATGGAGTGCTTCTTGGATGAGCTCTTCTTCTGTTTTGGGAGGGTGCGCAGGTTCATGGGGTCGCTGAGGCTGGCCGGCTACTTCATCCGACTCAGGCCGTATCAAGAGATATATCCAAAAACATCCATCCCCTCTTGGCTTCCTTCAGAGAATGTGAGCACTTACATACTATTAGCACCCAACTGACTTCGCAAACCCGCAAGGAACCCGTCAAGTAACTAAATAACATGCACATTGTTGCGGTGGTCCAACTCCGGTACCCTAACATGTGTGGGGCGGTCAAAAGGCTCACCTGCGAGACACAGGCTGATCACCCATTGGGGCCGCTTCCTTTGGACCAAAACGGTGGGTGGCACTTGCTTTGTTTGTTCTACTGGGTTTTGGATCGGAAGTCCAGCTTTTGTTCGCAGGAACTGGTGCAGGATGTTGTCCATCCAAGGGAAGCTGAAGAGTCTCGGGCTTCAGCTGCACATCAGTGTTAATGAACTCAGACCAACCATGGCACACGGGACAAACCGAAGGCCATTCCAAAAAGAAGGCCGAAGGAAATCCGCTTCCGGCAAAACAAAACACCGGTGAAACCAAAGTTGTGGAGGCAAGCAAGGTGTCCTGAAGCCCTCCCGAATCGTGTGTGACGGGTCAGCGTGGGGCCCCCCCTAAAAGGTGACAAGCAAAACAGTTTGGTCTGAGGGTGGGTGTATTTTTCGAGGGTGCGGTTGGCTTAAAAGAAAACCTTTGGGAAACGCCAATACGGTTCCGCCCATTTGAACACAAACTCATGTTTCCTTTTGAACTAGATGCCACTGGTAGGTGATAAGAGCCAAGCTGAACTCGGTGCACCAATTCTCAACCAAACCGATCCAACAAGGATACCTATATGACCAAGACCATGAAAGGATTGGGCCAATGCGTTTAAACATGCTAGAGCACGGTCCCATTTTTGATCCTTAAACACCACCTCCAAAGGAAACTCGCACGAAACGGCAGTCAGAAAGGGGATGTGACAAAAAAAACGGGACTCTTTTGGGAGTTGTATGAAACCCACCCGGCCTATTTAACAACAAAACACAAGTTTGTTTGACATGGGTCTCTCACTTCCCGAGTTGACCTGCCAAACAAAGTCTGTTATTTGCCACTAAAATGCTGTGTTTTTTGACCAAGTTGAAAGTCCCTTTTTTCTCAGGGGGGTGAGGCCTTCTTGGTTGCCCTAGGCGCACACCGAGCATCGGTCCGAGGCACAGCGCCAAGCACCAGTCGGCGTTTTCGGCCAGGGAGGCCATGGCGCCGCCGAAGGCGAAGGCATCCGGCTCCAAGGCCCGGGAGCCCAGGGAGCCCAAAAGCCAAAGCGCCTGCAGCGAATGGCCATAGGCCGTTTGGCCGTTTGGCCAAATTGGGTCTGGGAAATGGGGCAAACCCATCTAAACCAGTGGAACCCGTCTATGTTCACACAAACTGACCTCAAAAGGACATGGGCACGGCTTGTTTCTTGGGAGACGTTTTTTTTTTTTGAGACAAGCCCCAATTGGTGTTGGGTCGCCCAAAAGAGTGGGCTCAAATTGCTCAAAACTTTTGGTTGTGTACTTACCTTGCGAAATGAGCGACCCAAGCCAGGCGGATCCCTTTCGCGCAGTGCGGGAGAGCCCCGAAAACTGAATTTCTGCCGTGCGTGGCGAACGGAAAGGGAAACTATTCACCCAGAAAACTAGATCCTGGCACCCTTTTTAAAGGTAAACTAAAAGAAGCCAGTTTAAAGAATGGATGGTTTAACGCGTTTGGCCAAACCATGATCCCACTCAACTGGACACGCGGGCCTCCCGCTTCCTTTTCACGAGTGTGGGTCAGTGCGGTATTTCAGTTGCGCTACGGGTCGGAAAACCTTTTCTCTTGTAGGGACGGAATCAATGCCTTTACATGTAGAGTTTTAAACAACCAGGGCACATGGATGAGCTGCCAACAATGGAATCTGAAAAAATGATCGACACCGCAACGCCGACAGTCCGACGCTGCGCATTGCAAACATGACCGGTCCAAATGTAGGTTTGCCTGAGGGAAACGGGCACATGTAGAAACGCTTCTTCTATTCAAACTATAGTAAGGAGCTCATCACCAGCGACCAAACCAGGTAAAGGGTGCTTGATCATAACAGTCCCATACCCTAGTCACATTGTCAGCGACTCTCACCGCTACGTAGCCACTGACTCGTTTCGGCATGTGACCAATTTGAATCTGCAATTGTTGCAGTAGTTCCCAAATACAATGAGAATTGAAACCAAGTACTGAGCTCTTCTTAAAATTGAATTGGTGAGCTCGAAGCCCACAACATAGGCAGACATTTTTTTGTTAGATTTTATTATTCTGCAACCACCCCCCAAAACAAATAATTTGCCATATTGTTTTTACTGGGAGTGGGCGCTGGCGGGGTCGCAAAGGAATCAGTCCCGTAAAGGTTTCCTCCTCTTGGTTCCCGAAACGTGGCTCCAAATGACGTTTTGAGCCACGTGTGTCACTTGCCTGGCGCCACTCCGCGGCTCGGATGCCGGCGCTGCAGAGGATCACCTCAAAGCTATTTGAAGTTCCCAGCGCGTTGGCTTTCTAGAAAAAACACCCGCGTAAGACCGTCAATAAAAAACAGGGACCCAAGCAACAACCAAGGGAATCCCCGGAAAAGTACGAAGGAGGGTTCTGAAAAGAGATCCCTCTGAAGGGGTGGTTTCTTTCGTGAGAGTTTACAGGAAATCCCCGGAAGCTTGGACTCAAGACGAGCTGCTGGCGGTTAGAGTTCTTTGCCAGCATCTCCTTTGCCTCCTCGGAAGATTATCCTGGAACTGTAGAAGTGACCCTTTGGAATCTCCTTTTGGGGAACTTGAGTTCCAGAAGACTTGCATGGAGGAAAGGTTCGCCCAATCCGGAGTTCTTCTGGCGACTTAAGTTGGGCCCTTCTGTCGACAAGGACCGGGCCACGGAACATCATCACCGTTTGGTTGAGCCCGCTTCGAAGTAGGTGCTTCAAGTTCTTTGCCCTGGACAGATTGACCGCGCTTCCCACAGATTTGCCCCTACCGGAGCGTTGCTCGGAAATCCAGCAGGGGTGGAAATCATAAGGTCCCTGGCAAGCTGAACCAAAGGAAACGGGACACCGAAAAAAAATCAGCCACCCTTATGGTTTGCTGGGCTCTCATCCAGAGTTTTCTGGTGATTTCCAGCCATTTCCAGCTGCTACTTTTGGCGCAGCCCACTTGGAATGGCAACACAGGACAGCGCCGCCTTTGTTGAGCAACTGCGAGGCAAGGAACGCATCTTCGAGGACATCTTTCAAGGGGGGGATCAGGATGGTGTAGAGCAGGGCGTTGAGCACTGGGGGTGGGTTCAATAACTTCTGTGATGCCAAGCTGTTTCCCCCTAAAGTGAAGAAGGCGAACTGTGCTTCCCGGAGGTGAAATGCGAAGAAACAGCAAGGTTCCTCGCCAGCCTTGAGACGACAAATCCCCCATGAAAGGAAGCCCTATTGGACCAGGTTTTCTTCAAACCCACACCTCAGCTTTCGACCCCCGGGCATATGTTTGATTCTGGTCCATATTTACGTGAATCTGAAAGCGTAAATCCACCTTAAAAGAGGCCCCGAACCCAGGGACTGCAGGGAACCCATCCTCGCGAACCCCGGCAGACGTGACATGTGGGGCCCAAGGCGCGTCGGGCAGAAGTTGGCGCCTTGCCACCTCTGCGAGCAGCCAAAGCGTCTGCGCCCAGGGCGAGGGCCCAGTGCTGTAGGCCGCCACCTGGCTGTGGTTCACAAATGGAACCAAAGACTAAAACCTGCGTAACCGCAGCTCTTGAAATTTGAGCCATACCCACCTATCCAAATTCTCATTCGCAGACTGAAAAGAAGGAACCTCATGAAACGAACCTTCATCAACCCCACGAACGTCGCTTTGATTTGCCGAGATCTGGGTATGTCTATTTTTGACGGTAGGGGCTCGCTTGCATGAGCGGCCTGGTGCGGGGATTTGGGCTTTTTGGTTTGATTGAACGGAACTGAAGGACTACTAAACATCCAGACTGGGGGGAATGGGAACAAAGGACACAAATGCCTGTACCAAAATTCGCCGAAGCCACATTTGCCTGGAGCCGGCGCGTCTCCAGCCGCACCAAGACCTGCCGCCGAATCATTCCAGCCTTCCAGAAAACCAACGCTGGACAGAGAGGCTTTCCCACAGCTGGCTGGACCCCAAACTACTGAAACACCATCCTTCTCTCAGATTATTGGGCTGTCCTCAGATCCCCCGCGATAAGGCTTTACTTTTAGTGGGTCAAATGGAAAACCCCACCAAACGCTAAAAGGCCAAAAAGCTAAGGGGATGTCGGATGGCTGGGAGCCACCGATTAGGGGGGGCCTTTGAGTCTGGCTTTCGCACATCGCCTGGCGCGCGTGGCGCCACGGCGCCCGCGGCACAAAGCTGCAGCGGTCCCCGGAAGTTTCGCTGGCGGCCAGCTGGTGCAGCGAGAGGCGCCAGTCCCTGGCCGACTTGCCCGAAGAAGCAGCTTGGCTGGCTTGAAGCCGTCCGTCTCGGAAGCTTCTCATCCAAACTCTCTTGGATTATGGTTTATGAATCTATAAATCAATATACTTTGAGTATGGTTTATATATATATATATATATATGGCTGCATACTCTCGCCTAATCGCGTACATAGCGATAGCTAGCACTTTATTTGCTCGGCACCGCCACCCTCCTCGCGCAAGGTGGGGCTTGCCTTCGTTTCCCCAAAGCTGTGGATCAAGGAGCCACACCTTTGAACACGGGCAACCCCGCTTTTGCTTTCGCTGAGACCAAGAAACTTCTGGCTGTTGTTCCAACATTTCATCTGCTCACCCTCTTCCGTTTGGTTTCCCTTTAGTGTCTACCTTAAAGGTTGTTGAAACAAATTTTGAATCCGCCAGGATTTCCTTCACTTCCCTTCTAGAACCTTCAAAAGTGGCAGTTTAATGAAACCACGAAACACGCAAAACAATGCAGCTTTTCAACAAAAAAAACAGTGACCTTTGAAGAGGTGATAAAATGAAGAGGCAGCCAAAGAAGTAACCAAATTGCTACCTAAAAAAAGCAACGGCCTAGCCAAGTAGAGATAACAAAGCAAAGACACAGCCAAGCAAAGACATAGCCATGGAAAGACACAGCCAAGCGAAGACACAGCCAAGCAAAGACATACCCCAGCAAAGCCATTGCATAGCCAAGCAAAGACTTAGCAAAGCGAAGACATAGCCAATCAAAGGCATAGCCAGCAAAGGCACAGCCAAGCAAAGAAAGACACAGCCAAGCAAAGGCATAGCCAAGCAAAGGCATAGCCTAGCAAAGGCAAAGCCAAGAGAAAACATAGCCCAGCAAACACGCTGCCAAGCAATGACATAGCCGTACCAAACCAGTCGGGCGGGGAAACCACACACACAACACAACACGGAGCCACGCCCATGTTCCAAGAACTGTGACAAGCCACTGTGACCTGCTCAAATGACCCGCAACCATTCAAACTTGTTTGGCCTTCAGTGAGATGATGCACAACAAGCATAACAAAGGGGCAAAATCGACACACACACACACATATATATATATATATATTCTTCTCCCATGATCATCTCTTCATGTGGAATCACCCAACTTTAACTTTTCAGGCCCTCGAACTCGTGGGAAGCCCAAAACGGGGACTTCCAGGCGAGCCTCTGCGCAACCATGGCGAGGCTCGCACGCCATGGCGCGGGTCAGGCGTCCAGCGCACAGGCACGGAACAAAACACAGAAGACCGGCCGGGGGGACGTGAATGCGAAAAGAAACCGGCAAAAACACCTTGGGGGGGAAGGCACGTGTCAGAATCAAATGATCAAAGCCAGTAGTAGACACATATCAGTCATATAAATCATGTGTCAACACCAGGATTGGGAAGATAAGAAGTGGCATTGAAATAACTACCTTCCCTCGGAACATGGTTTGAGGATAGAACCATTACTGAGTCATGTTGTTTGCAGAACAAGTATGTTGAAACATGGAGAAGTTGCAGCCGAATTCAACAAAACACTGCCGGGCAAAAGACGCACCCAGCTGACAGGAGGCGGGCAAATCGCTTCCTAAACTGCGGGCTTTTGGGGACTCCTTGCCGGGCAACTTATGTCAAAACAGACTTTGTAGCTGGCTCAATATGAGCACAAATCATCTCCACGTTGGTAGCCTTCATCATGGGTGAGGTTGTGTTTTCCGACGAGCTCGGTATTGCGCAGGATTGTAAGGATGTATTCTTGACTCTTCTGGAAAACCATGGAAACAAGTTGTCCGCAGCTTTGCGACAAACCCAGGTCAGAAACCATGGCGGAACTGAGCGGCTGCGCAAACAGATGAGGCAGGGGCATTCTGAATCAGCCAACTTCAACCTGGCAAGTGACCTGCGAGCTGTGGGTAGCAGGACTGGGACGTGTGGCTATCCCTTGGAAAGCTCAACGGGAATTGGATGTTCAACCCACTCGACTCTGAAAAGTCGACCCCTGAATTATCCTCCTGGATTTTCAGGCTGGTACTTCCCCAAACGCGTGGATTCACCCCGAGTTTGCATTGAGGTGAATAGAATTGTTGCTGCACAGCTTGCATTCCTTTGGGGCTATGTCCCCTAGCGCGCTGATTCACGTCGACGAAGGGGAGATCCGTCTGATTGGAGTTGTGGTGCCCAGCTGTTTGGACTCTCAAGAATGTTGTTGCCCGCAGTCTGTTAGCTCCTTCTCAGCAACAGCCACCCCAGACTACGTTAGCACTCCGGTTAAGTTAAGTTCATGGCCTTACTCGCTGATCTGCCACGCTCCGACCTGAGTAGACTTGGCAATCTCTCGGCCGCGCAGGCTGCTCCGGCTAATGCTTGCGTAGACTTGTGGGGCAGCAGTATGAGCCGGAGACGAAAACATATTCCAGCCCTAAGATAGCAGCTGTCCTTTTGACTCTTCAAGACCAATCCCATTCTGGGCCTCAAAAAACACGTCCCCGCTCTCACAAACAGGGAGTCAAAGGCAACCCAGGAATGTGAGTGTCCCATGTTGGCATGTCCATCAGCTTACTCAGGATGCCCCAGACCTGCAGTTGCCACGGAAAAAGACAAGGGACACATTTTTACTGGATGTCTGGGTATGCTTTCTGTTGGCTCGGGGCATGTTTCTTGTGAAGCATTGGAGAACTAAGATAGTGGTCCCCCCCCCAAGGCTTCCAAATCCAAGGGAAGTCGGATATTTCATGAGCGAAGCGATAGAAGCTTCATGCCTTTGGGTGTATTGCTTGATCAACCAATGGTCCCCAAGACAAGGGAAGCACAGGTTGTTAACTCTTAACATCGCTTTCCAAAAATGGTTGTTACAGGAAATCACTTTTCTCCCAATATAATCTAAGAGCAACTCCAAACACAGCCCCACCTTTTTCTGCGCCTATCAGGTTCTATGAATGTGCAGACATTTCCTGGCGCCCGTTGGCAGTGACTTCTTGATGCAAAGCAAGTTTCTGTTTCTGCGTGCTACAACCGTCTTCCCCATGAGTATAAAGTCCAGGAACAGTGCGTCTCGATCAGGGGGGTCTTTTTGCCACCTTTTGTGAGAAAACTGGCGATCCCCACAAAAAGGAATCCAACACTACGAGGGAGTCGATCATTTTGCCAGGAGGCAAAAAGACCCTCTTGGTCTCGATGCCAATGGGAATCCACCAAACAAGTACAGAGAGAAACGACATGGCTTATATTTCCCTTGCTTTTCCTCGGATACAAAATTAAGGGAAAATGAAATAAAAGGAAAATAGACGAGGAACAGCATAGGAAAGGGAAAGGTGCGCAGGCGGCCTCCGCCTCCGTTTCTTTTTGGCCGACGCAAACTTTCGGCGCGCAAGGAGCAGCTCATTCAGCTTCGGCGCGGGGCTAAGGAGCAAGCCCAAAAGAACGACGCTTTCGGGCCGGCAGGGATCCCCCCCCCCACCAGGGGAGCAATTGCAGTCAATTCCCATGTCGGTAAGTCAAGGCTGTGTTGAAAGTTGCAACCAAACTTGCCCAGAATCTGGGGCACACTAAAACCTACATTTTCAGATTTGGCCCATATGTGGTCTACCTCATACACAAGAACAATTTAGAGGGAGGAGACCCCAGCCTGAGGAACGGCGCCCATCTTTCAATGAGAGCTTTGGTCCTGAAGAGGACGCGGACCGCGGCCAAGCTACAAATCATGTGCAGCCTTTGGCCCTTGGCGGTGCGAGTGGCAATGGCCAGAAGAACATCGCTCCTTGGAAGGAGCAAA